TATATCTTTAGCTATTTATATTTATGCATGCACCGATGACCTCCCAAAACTGTTGTGTTTATTTTCGAGTCCTGGGTAAAAAAAGGCTGAGCTATATGTGTAAAGACTTTCATTTATATAGTTATGGTTTTTAAGTATGCGAATGGCATTTTCAGATATATCACAAAATTGGAACAAGCTCTTACTAATAATGAAAGAAAAAATAGATTTGTGTGAAGTCTGTCATTCTATATTCTATAATCTTATGTGCACATACTTTTATATGGAAATACAAATAGTAAAGTTTATTACCTTATCGTCATCCTCACAAGTCATTACATTTGAAAATGGAATTTCTGCTTTAAACATTTTACGACAATGCATAAGTTGAACTAAAAGATAGCAGACAGTCTTGAATTTCATCCTTTTGGCAGGCTTTATGTCAGACAGAATCAGTCCTGGGAATATCTAGGAAAAAATACAAAAATAGAATAAACAAACATAAATATACAACTTAATCAGCATCATGCAAGATAGAAAAGAGTAAAATCCCAATTGTTTTGCTGCTATTTTACTGTGAATTTTGCTATCATATTTTGAGTTCAAGTGTAATTGTGTTTTAAAAATGTTCATCATTAGATTGCAAAATAAAAGTGAACTATGTTCAATATAAATTATATTTCCTATGAACATTTGGGACTGATGTTAGACCTAAAATGAAGCATGAAGAAGAAAGAAAACCAAAATATGCTGTTCACTGCAACCAGGGAAACCTTTTTAAGAACATTTTTAAAAATGACAACATCTCAATGGTTATCTGAGGAAAGAGCTCCAATTTTTCATCCTTCATTTTTTTATAAATCAGGTCAAATGCATTTATCAAGGTAAAAGCCAAAAGGTAGACGTTACCTCGAGTTTTGAATCACCTATACTTTTTTTTTTGGTCTGGGAAATGATGGTAATGCATATAATTATGTATTAATTATCTTTTATATATACATAGTAGTGAGTGTTGCCCTGTGTATGAGTCAGGATAATTTACACATTTCACAAAATTCAAGCTTGCATGCTTTTCTAAATTGTGGTCACTAAATGCATAGTGCTGAGCTCGGATTATGAGTGATTGGCTGCGACCAGCTGCTTACAGGACATCACTAACTTGTCTACCTGTGTACAAGATTGGTTACATAGTTACATAGTATTTGGGGTTGAATAAAGACATACGTCCATCAAGTCCAACCCATATAGGTCCATGCATCATCTCATTCTTAGGGATACTGGTATCCCTGGATATTACGGTCCCTCAAGAAATTGTCCAAACGTTTCTTGAACAAATCTACACTCTTGGCTGAAATCACTGCCGATGGCAGTGAGTTCCAGGCCTTAACCGCTCTTACTGTAAAGAACCCTCTTCGCCCATTGTGCTGGAATTTTTTCTCCACCAACTTTAGGTGGTGGCCTCTAGTCTTTGTAAAGGAGTTAATCTCAAACAGTTTGTTACCAATGTTGCTGTCACCATTGAGCATCTTGTACATGAAAATCATATCCCCCCTTAATCTCCTTAATTCCAGCGTAAACATGTTTAAGGTCAGAAGCCTTGTCTCATAGCTCTGGTCCTCCATTCCCCTAATTAGTTTTGTTGCCCTCCGCTGGACTCTCTCCAGTTCAAGGACATCCCTTCTCAGTACCGGCGGCCAAAACTGGACCGCGTACTCCAGATGTGGCCGAACCAACGATCTATATAGAGGCACAATTATAGACTTGTCCCTGCAATACATCCCCTTCTTAATACAGGACAAGACCCTGCTAGCTTTGTTTACCGCAGCTTGGCACTGCAAGCTACCATTCAGTTTGTGGTCTACAATGACCCCCAAATCTTTTTCTATTTCTGACTTCCCTAGCGGCATACCCATGATTATATAGCCATGATTGTATATTGTATAAATTTTTTGAGCATGTGCTCATAGTCATCTAATAGGAGAATGTGTAATGATTGTCGTTCTACTTGAAGGTCTTTAGAGAGCTGCAAGGAGGGAGATGTTTTATTTAAACCTTCTAGACGTTTTATAGATGTGAGTAAAGCGTTCATTTTTTGGAGCTTATCTTCTTAAGCACTTAGTTTTATGCATATCCCCCTGATAACAGCTTTATGGGCATTCCACAGTATATATCTGTCTGTGTCAGGGGAGTCGTTGATGTAAAAAAAAACGTTTTGTTCCTCCGCAATTTGTGAAGCAGAGGTCGGGTTTGAAAGGAGAACTGTATTGAGCCTCCAGAGTTGCGGAGTCGCTTTAGGTAGATGATCCTTCACACTGACAGATATAGGTGCGTGGTCTGACCAGGTGATCAAGCCTATATGCGAGGAGGTCATTAGAGGCAAAGAAAAAACATCGGTAAAGAATAAATCAATACGAGAGTAAGTATGATGTACATGTGAGAAGAACGTATAATCACGTTCGTCAACATGTTGACATCTCCATATGTCGGACAGACCATTCCGAAATAAAAAATTACCTATAGTAGTATGAGAGGATTTACCCGAGGTGGAAGAATCCAGAACTTTATCAGTAACTGTGTTAAAGTCACCTCCCATCAGGAGAGTACCCGCTTTATAGGTGTCAATTATTTTGAGGAATTTTTTGAGGAATTTGATCTGACTGACATTAGGGGCGTAAAGATTGACTATGGTGAAAAGCTGTGCATTCATTTCACATTTCAATATAAGAAAACGACCATTTGGGTCAACAATATTTTCAAGCAAGTTAAAAGCTACTGAGGAGGATACTGCTATAAGGCCCCCGGCTTTCTTCCTATCTGCACTGGCGAGGAAAATATGTGGGAAGTCTTTGAATGTAAAGTGGGGAGTTTTAGATTTAGCAAAGTGAGTTTCTTGTACCAGCAGTACGTCACTGCGAAGCTGTCTAGCTTCTCGTATTAGGTTATATCTCTTCTGGGGACTATTGAGGCCTTTGGCATTAATAGACTAAAATTTAACTAAGCTAAGCTAAGTTGAGTGTGTGAAGATCCACCTTGAGTGCAGAGAAGTCTTCCAGTGTTTGTGAGTATTAGGAGATCCATTGACACGGAGAGGCACCATATGAAGAGTTGAGGATGAATGAGGACTACTGAAGATGACTAGTGAACGGAGATGAGGAAAAAAAAAGATAAGACCAGATACATGACCAAAATAAAGAGCCACCTTATCAAACATACTAAGCAAAAACAGGTCGGCAAAAAAGGCCAACAAACATGGGTAGCATATGCTACTGAAACGTATGGAAACAATAGGTTGATCTATTATAGTTGATAGAGCCTAATAAAGCCTAATAAAGTCAAACTCATGACTTAATTAACTGTGAGCCCAGGTGAAGGATGCGAGTACCAGGAGCCCCTGGGCATAGGTAAGTGGTGAATGCCCTTCTTAGAGGGAATAGGCGAGGTGATCAGGTCCAATCTTGGGGAATCTTTCTTGGTTCAGTTGGAGTGCGGTTTTCTACCAGAGGATGAGGGATGTTCCAGTCGTTGAGGAGCTTGTAGCCTGCTTCTAGTGAGGCAATCGGGAAGGTTCTCCCCTTATGTTATATCAGGATTTTAATAGGAAATCCCCATTTGTAGATAATGCGATGTTGAATGGTCGTCAGAGGAGCCAATTTGTGGCGATTCAGAAGCGTAAGTTGAGAGAGATCTGCAAAGAGCGAGACCCCTTGAAGCTGCAAAGATGGGGACCTGATAGATTTTGCCGCCATCATGGCTTTCTCCTTTATATGGAAAAAGTGGATCCGAGCTAGCACGTCTCTAGGGACGGCATCCGGCAGAAAGGACGGTTTGGCTATTCTATGAGCTCGATCCACCAGGAGGTCAGCTGTAGTGGCGTCAGGAATAAGCTCTTTGAGGATTTGAGAAACATGACCTGACAGTTGTTGTGGAGCAACCGTTTCAGGTATTGACCTAAATTTGATGTTATTGCGGCGTGACCTATCTTCTAGGTCCGCACATTTCAACTTGAGCCACTGTATATCTGAGGACTGAGAATCATGGTGATCCACTAGTATATTGTGACCCTTAGATAAATCACTCATTCTGGTTTCAACATGTGTGACTCTTGTAGAGAGTTGTTGCATAGAGAGAGATAGCTTGTCAATCATTGATGAAATATCTTTCTGTATGAACGTAGTGAGAGCAGCATTTCTTTCATGACTGCTGAAGATGCTGGGTCAGTATTGGAGGGGTATGCATCAAGAGACAGGGAAGATGTGTGAGGTAAATTGGCTGACACTGAGGGACGTGAGGAGGATGACTCAGCTCCGTTAGCTCTCTTTGATTTAGTTGGGCTGCGTGTGGTAGGTGACTCAGGAGGAGATGACTCACCCTGCTGAGACAAGAACGGAGCTGCGGCTGGAGGAGGACTGTCAGTGAGGGAGCCAGCTGACAGGGGAGATCGTGATCGATCTGAGGTAGCTCTCCTATTGCCTGCGCCATTTTGTCTTCCTCCTGTCTGAGAGGCTGGGAAGAAGTCCGTCATCTTCTGATGCCCCTTCCCTCTTTTGGGCATGACCGGTGAGGTCCTGTAGCTAGCAGGCAGATACCTGACCTATTTGTGGGTGAGACAGGCTCCTGGATGCTTTTTAGTACGTCGCTGACAGGGCTTGTGAGAACGGAGCTCTCTCACAGTGCGGCCATTACGATCGGCGGCCGGACACGCCCCACAAGACCCTGCTAGCTTTGTTTACTGCAGCTTGGCACTGCAAGCTACCATTCAGTTTGTTGTCTACAATGACCCCCAAATCTTTTTCTATTTCTATTGGTGATATTCAATCCTTACCACTGAATTTTATAAACAGGAATTGTAATTTTCCATTTCACTGGAGGATTCAGTGACCAGAAATAAAAGTAGCAGGAAACCCCTTCCAGAGTTCTTCCCTGCAATGCTGGCAACTGCCCAAAACACGTAATGGGGGGAATTTATCAAAACTGAAGTAGACAGGATGCGAAGCAGTCGCCCATAGTAACCTGCTTTTCTTTTCAGTTTGTTCAGTTAGGCTTTGAAAATATAAGAAGCTAATTGGTTGCTGCCCCAGATCTGTCTGCTTCAGTTTTGATACATTTCCCTCAGTATTCATTCAGTAGTAACCACAGCCTAATAGAGGCATACAGTTTCATCACTGTTTAGCAATATGTATGGGTCACAAAACACGCTCTCCTTACCCCTGTGTTTAGGGTTACCATTTGTAACCACTTTTTTAAGGTCAGGTAAAGAAAATACTATATTTTGGCTGGTATTTTTTTTAAAGTGCTTGCTCCCAACTAGGGTTGCCACCTGTCCGGTTTTCAACCGGACAGTACGGTTTTGGCATCTTGTGTCCGGTTTTCCGGCCACCGTAGCCCCGTACACGAGATGTCACAAGTTCAGGCAGACTGGGGCAGCCCCTGGGTCCTAGAGAGGAATGCGTGAAGGAGGACCTTCTGCT